AGATGACATGATACGATACACAGAAAATCCTAAAGATGCTACCAGAAAATTACTACAGCTCATAATACACAGAAATCTCTTGCATTCCTATACACTAATAAGAAAGAGAAATTAAGGAACCAATCCCATTTACCACTGCATCAAAAAGAATAAAATACCTAGGTATACATGTACCTAAGGATACAAATGACCTGTACTCTGAAACCTCTAGGACACTGATGAAAGAAATTGAAGATGACACAGATGGAGAGAGACATACCATGTTCTTGGATTGGAAGAATGAATATTGTGAAAATGACTCTACTACCCAAAGCAATCTATAGATTCAATGCAATCCCTGTCAAACTATCACTGGCATTTTTCACAGAACTAGAACAAAAAATGTATGTAAACACACAAGACCCTGAATACCAGAGCAATCTTGAGAAAGAAAAACAGAGCTGGAGGAATCAGGCTCCCTGATTTCAGACTATACTACAAAGCTACATTCATCACAACAGTATGGTACTGGCACAAAAACAAATACAGATCAGTGGACCAGGACAGAAAGCCCAGAAATAAACCCACACCACTGTGGTCAATTAATCTACAACAAAAAAAGGCAAGAATATACGATGGAGAAAAGACAGTCTCTTCAATAAGTCATGCTAGGAAAACTGGACAGCTACATGTAAAAGAAGGAAGCCAGAACAATCTAACACGACACACACATAAACTCAAAATGGATTAAAGACCTAACTTGTAAGACCAGGTACTATAAAACTCTTAGAGGAAAACACAGGACACTCTTTGACATAAATCACAGCAATATATTTTTGATCCACCTCCTACAGTAATGAAAATAAAAACAAATGGGACCTAATGAAACTTAAAAGCTTTTGCACAACAAAGGAAACCATAAACAAAATGAAAAGACCATCCACAGAATGGGAGAAGATATTTGCAGACAAAGTGACCAACAAGGGATTAATCTCCCAAATATACAAATAACTCATGCAGCTCATTATCAAAAAACAACAAACAAACAACCCAATCAAAAAATGGGCAGAAGGTCTAAATTTTATGTCATCTTTGGAGAAATGTCTGAGGGCCAAGAAGCACATGAAATGATGCTCAACATCACTTATTATTAGAGAAATGCACATCCATACTACAGTGAGGTATCACCTCACACCAGTCAGAATGACCATCATTAAAATGTCTATAAACAATAAATGCTGGAGAGGCATGGAGAAAAGGGAAACCTCCTACATTGGTGCTGGGAATGTAAATTGGTACAAACATTATGGAGAACAGTATGGAGGTTCCTAAAAAAACTAAAAATAAAATTACCATAGGATCCAGCAATCTCCACAACTAGGCATATATCCAGAGAAAACCATAATTTGAAAAGATGCATGCACCCCAGTGTTCATTGCAGCACTATTTACAACAGCCAGGACAAGAATGCAACCTAAATGTCCATCGACAGAGGAACGGATAAAAAAGACATGGTACACATATACAATGGAATACTAATCAGCCTTTAAAAAGAATATCATACTAAGTGAAGTAAGTCAGAAAGACAAATATTGTATCACTTATTTATAGAATCTAAAAAAATGATACAAAGTAACTTATTTACCTAACAGAAACAGATTCACAGACTTTGGTAACCGTAAGTTTGTTTTCAAAGGGGAAATGTGGGAGGAGGGATAAATTAGGAGTTTGGGATTAACATATAAACACTACTATGTATAAAATAGATAATCAACAAGGACCTACTATATAGCATAGAGAATGCTACTCAGTATTCTGTAACAACCTATATGGGAAAAGGATCTGAAAAAGAACGAATATATGTATAACTGAATCACTTTTCTGTACACCTAAAACTAACACATTGTACACCAGCTATAATATAAAATAAAAATTAAATTTTAAAAATAGCAAAAATTAAAGGTAAAGAACGTACATTAAAAGCATCAAGAGAAAAACAACCTTGTACAAGAGACTCCCATAAGACAATGAACTGACTTTTCACCAGAAACTTTGTAGGACATAAGAGGGTGGCAAGGTGTATTCAAAGTGGTGAAAGAAAAAAAAAAACTGCAACCAAGAATACTTTTTGCCTTTGCCAAAAAAAAAAAATGTTCAAGGCATTTCTCTAAGGAGAAAAGACTACAATCACAAATATAAAAAAATCTCATTGGTAAGGGCAAACATTTAGTAAAGTTAGTGGATTCACAACTTATAAAGCTAGTAGGAAGGTTAAAACAGAATAGTAGTAAAATCGTCTATAACCACAATAAGTAGTTAAGGAACACACGAAACAAAAATATGTAAAATATCATGTTAACGACATTAAATGTGGGGAGAGAATAAGAATGCAGAGTTGTTAGGACATGTTTAAACTTCAGAGATCACCTAAAATAATGACATATATATATATGTGTATGCATATATATATGATTTTCATGGTAACCACAACCAAAAATTATAAAGGGATCCAAACAAAAAACCAAAGTTAGTTATCAAACCATAAGGTAAGAGAGCAAAAGAAGGAACAAAAAAAGAACTACCTATCAATAATTACTTTAAATGTAAATGGACTAAACGCTCCAATCAGAAAAAATAGGGTGGCTGAATAGATAAGAAAAGACATATATACACACACACTACCTATAAGACACTCACTTCAGATCTAAAGCACACACAGACTGAAAGTGAAAGAATGGAAACAAAAAAGAAAGCTGGGGTAGCAATGCTTACATCAAATAAAAGAGACTTTAAAACAAAGACTGCAACAAGAGACAAAGAAGGACTTTACATAATAATCAAAGGATCAATCCAACAAGATATAACCTTGTTAATATTTTTACACCCAACATAGGATCACCTGAATATATACAGCAAATATAACAGACATGAAGGGAGATAGTGACAGTAATACAAGGGTAATACAGTAATAGAAGGGTATGTTAATACCCCACTTATGTCAATGGATAAATCAGAAAATCAATAAGAAAAATTTAGCCTCAAACAACACATTACATCAGTGACTTAATAAATATATAAAGAACATTTCACTCCAAAACAGCAGAATACACATTCTTTTTAAGTGCACATGGATTATTTGCCAGGATAGATCACATGCTAGGACACAAAACAAGTCTCAGTCAATTTAAGAAGACTGAAATCATATCAAGCATCTTTTCTGACCACAATGGTTTGAGACTAGAAAAAAATAAAAGAATACTGCAAAAAAATACAATCATGCAGAGGTTAAAACAATATGCTACTAAAAAAAAAGTGGGTAATTAAAGAAATCAAAGAGGAAATAAAAAAACACCTGGAGATGAATGATAATGAAAACAATCTAAAATCTATGGGACACAGCAAATGCAGGTCTAACAGGGAAGTTTATCGCAATGCAAGCCTACCTTAGGAAACAAGAAAAATGTCAAAACAATCTAACCTTACAATTAACGGAGCTAGAAAAAGAAGAATAAACAAATCCCAAAATTCATAGAAGAAAATAAATCATAAAGAAATAGAGACTAAAGATCAATGGAACTAAGATCTGTTTCTTTAAAAAGATAAACAAAATTGATAAACCTTTAGCCAGAGTCATCAAGAACAACAGAGGGCCTATACGTAAAATCAGAAATGAGAAAAGTCCCTGTGTTGTTCAAGGGTCAGCCATATACTATTCAGCAGTGAATTCTGCATGCAACAACACTCATATACGTTGTAAGTTATAGGGCATGAAATAATCCAGTCAAAAATTTACATGAATGATTCCATTTCTAGTAAATTCTAGAACAGGCAGAACTAAGTGTTTCAGTGATGGAAAGCATGTCAAGATTGACTGTAAAGGAGATTTTTAAGAACTTTTTAAGGGATGGACATTTTATTGGTGGTTACACACATTTGTCAAAATTCATTAAGTTGTACACCTAACATTGGCATTTTATTGAGTGTAAATTATATCTCAATATAGTTGATTTAAACAACATTGAAGTACCCTATTTGTAAGAAGCTGAATCTTAAAATATTGACATAACATTTCATAAGATACTACAATATGAATTCTTGCAAAAACTTAATACCTTTTATTTTTGTGGAGCTGAAATTTAGAGTCAAATCTACAATTAAGGTTATGATCTACTCTTTCAGAATTCAAAAAACAGTGTAAAAAGGAAAGCACTGGTCTACATACGAATCGCTAAAAATCCAGCCATATTCAATTCATGTATACACAAACTTATTGGATTTAATATCCATTTAAAAAGGTGAAATCCAGCCATATTCAATACATATATACACAAATGATTTAATATCCTTTTAAAAAGGTGAAATTTGTATAATTTATCATTTTACCTATTTGAGCTAAATCTGTTCTGCATAAGAGTACAACAGTTACCTCTGATTATTGTTAGAATGTGTCAGATTTCAGCGAAGAGCCTTTCAGTCTAAATGCAGTATGTATTATAGTGTATATATAGTAGTTCTAACAAAATTAGAATTCAGAGCATTTTTCTCATGTCTAAGGAGCTTGTACTCACATTTCATGGCTCGCCTCAGGTGATACCCCACGGAGTTAGCAGGGGTCCACCTGCCCATTGCACTGTCTTCAAGCCTGTAGTTCTTTCTGCTCTGGACACTCTTCTTACAGTCTTCACATACTCCTCTCCCTCCCTGCATTTAGATTCTAGGTCTATACTATAAAATTCAGGCTTTCCGATACAAAATTCTAAAATAGACTTTTACTTTCCTATTCTACATTTTAAAATCTTGTTTCTTTTCCTCTAAGACATAACTTATGCATTAAACTTTAAGTGTATTTTTTATTATTCAAGGCTGTAGGTTCTGTGACAGAGTACTTTGACTTTCTTTGTCACTGCTTTATATTTAGTGCCTGTTTACAACAGGTACTCTGGAAATATTATTTAGATCGACACCAGCTTGGGCACATAAATGAATGGAGGCATCTGAGGTGTATCAGAGTTCTGACTTACCGTACTGATCAAGTTTCTTTTTTTCAACCTTGCTGTTAGCCCAGAAAAGTGAGAAATCGGGATTTCTCAGCTGGAGCTGCAGAAAAAAATAAAATCCGAGCCATTTAGAAAACAAGCTATACATCTGTAATAAAGCATAGTTTCCTATCTACTTTCAGGAAGACTAAAGGACTTAGAAATTAAAAACAAAAACTTATTTTCAGTTCTACTGTCTGAACACATCGATTGTCTCCATTAATTTATCCTGATCTATCACCCAGGCAATAAAACATTTATTCTCATCCTCCCTCTTTCCATGATCACCTTGGTCCTCTATCTCCTTGCCAAGTGATTGTAATCACGTTCAAACTCACCAAGTGTAGATACTGAAAAGCAACAGAATTGTTCTTTTTCTTTTTACCTGATTCCAACTAAAATCCAAATTGAACCTAAATTCAAGTCAAGAATATGTGGGCTATCTACTTTTTTATATTCAACCTCTTCACAATCCACAATTATTTATTCACATTTGGCCCCAGTAGAAGGGGATTGGGCATAGGAAGGACAGTGGCAACTTGCAAAGGAATCTATTTGCTTTCTTTGGTCTGTGACACAGATTTGACTTATTCATCACCTCTGGTTCTACCGCCTGAATTTCAACAGGAGAAATTACAGCTCTGTGTTTTCTGCAGCAGACCAATTTAGCATCACAGAAAACGGTTTACTGTCATTTGCTTCCGCTACTAACTAGTGTCAGACAAACTAGCAAAGCTTTTTTTTTTTTTAAGTAAGCAAAAATAAACTAAAATCAAGAGTGAACTAGGTTTGGATTCATTCAAGATTTGTTATTTGTTAGGTTTGACCTTGGGGAAGTATTCCACTCAGGTTGATTCACACAGTGTTACAAGGATTAAGTAGAGAAATCTTTGGTAACATACTTAGCAAGGAAGACACTGGGGTCCCGCCAAAACAGCAGCGATTCCAGAGAAGAATGGAGCTCCACAGTGAAAGTCAGCCTCAGAATCCCCGCTGACTGGGTTCCTATCAGCAAGACTGGATTGTTTTCACCTCTCAGCCATCAAGATAATTCTGTAAAATAATCATTTATATTAATAACATAATTGGAGTGAGGTGATTGATCTATTATCACCATATTTATTCACTCAATTTTCCTTCAATTGTTCCACCTATTTTTATATTTTATAAATGTATCTTTAAGAAGGTCCATACTCCTTTTCAGGAATATGTGAATATTGTAACAAATCCTTGATGAGTTTTGTTGAGTAAAATATTCGCATATTGAATTAATGCCATCCACAATGCTTTTCCTCTAATAAGAAACATTTTGTTTGGTATCAAATGAGTAATAAGAACTCTAATTTTACATTAATATTCATAAAAAGTAATGTCATCCATGAGCTTTTTCTCCATGTTATGTGGACAGTAGCACAGGAAGTATCTTGAGAATTTTATTCATAAAGAACATGTCAGTTCAGCCTGAGATTAAAAATTTAATAACTAGTATACAGATTTTAATATCTTTTTTGTCCATTGGTTTAGAATTTGAAGAAGATTTGGGAAATAATATTTCCATTGAAATTTTAATAGAATTGTAACTTTTATAGAGGTTACTTTCCTCTAATACTCATTTTAGGAGTTGTCACCATAAAAGAACTTAACAGATTTTACTAATATTCAGGCAACTTTATTTTTTAGAGTATGAGAAGTTGGTATTACCACTGTAGCTATTTGTAAGAGATAATATAAGGCAAACTCTTCCCCAGCAAACAACTGTCTGCAAATTCTTTTCCATAAATAATCAAAAAAAAATTTGTTCAGAAATCATTTCAACAGATGCCAACCTATGAATAATTGCTATAACAAGGGAAACTTCCCTCAGAGAGTTTTCCATATTTTGTGTGATTTGTAATCTGTAGTAAAAAGTGTTTATCATTATTTTTTTGTACAATGACCAAATCATATAATAAAACTTAAATGGGTGGAATCAAACAAAAATAGAATTTCTGTGATAAGAATACAAACATTCATACTGCTATTTTTTTTTCTTCCTTCCCTCCTTTTCTTGTCCTGCTTTTAACACTCAAATGCAGAAGTCTAAATTCACCACAAGAGAGGCTGCTCTTAGAATGATGCAGAATATCAGGTATTTCATTTGACATGGTATTAAGTTAGTTTTATTACAAATTGAATTTAATTGAAAGTTAAGGTGCTTAACATAGAGGTTGAAAGTAAGCATGTGAATAATGTTGAAAATGGAGATTTTACTTTTACTATAAATTCAATATTTAATCATTAAAGCAGTCATACATATAACAGTACTGTGATATAAAATAGAACCATAGGTTATATAATCTGCTTTAAAGGTCATTATGATAAATGAAAAAAATTTCATAATATAACTAGTAACTTTTGAAATGTAGTCCTGGGCATTTTTACTTGTTCATAAGAGCACTTTTTTTTTTAACCTGTGAAGTGTTTGTACTTTGATGTTGATCCATCATTACTTTTTGTTGTGAAAATTATCCAAGCCTCTCAAAACGCACTGAGGATATTTTTAAATTTTGTATACTCTGTAAGGGTTTATAAACAAGGAAATTATTCTTTGACGTATGGTTTTAAAAAGATTTTTGTACAGTTATGAGCCTGTTCCCATTTACAGGGTAATATTTAAGCCACTTTTAATAATTCCTCATTGATACTATTTTTTGAAGAATGTCAGATCCTTTTTCCAACATTAGAAATTTGTAACATTCATGGACATGAAAGAAGGGGGCTTAGCTGGAAAGGGCCCTGGATCCAGTGCCCAGAATTTCCACATTATGCTGTCCCTCCTGGTGTTCAGTATGCAAGGTGATGCGTGCACGCTAAGCTGGAGTCATATTTAAAGCCAAAATCCAAGATAGTCTTCTCTGATATCAGAAAAAAATCAAGCTTGCTTACTATTATCATTAACATTGTTCTCTTTGAGTAGGTGATGTAAAAACAAGAGAAAGAAAAAAGTATAAAATTGGTAAGAAATAAACAGCAGTAGCAAAGTGATTGTGTGTGTGCACATTTTACAAGTTTATAGATAGAAATCCTAAGGTAAGCTAGTTGACACTTCAAAGGAGCAATACACACAATAGTAATATTAAGAATTATTAGACAGTAAATACCTATGGAAACAACCAATGTCTCAATAACAACAAAAATTCACAGAGCTAGACATCATCTATAAGTTTTCAGATCTCTCCCTCTCACCTTCTCTGTATCTCTATATCATTGCTGATCAAAATAATATAAACTGCACTGGTAAACACTAAGGTTGGATAAAGAAACCATGTATTATAAATATGTCAACCCTTCCTGAAAAAATATGATCTCCATAAAAATACTAACAGCTTTGTCAACTATGTAAACTTTAAATATGAAAAAGTGAAATGGAAATTGGGCAGAGATATTCTAAAATTTAGTAATATTGAGGAGGCCAGTCCTATTGGATACTGAAACATATTGCAGAGCTACAGAATTTATGGTATCATAGTAATTTGCGCACACACACAGCTCAACACAATAAAGACCAGAAATAGAAAACTTTTTTAACATATGATAAAAGTGGCATTCAAAATAAGTGGATAATCAATAGAGTATTAAGTAAATGACATTGGGATTGCTGGATAGTCATCTAAACAAAATCGTTCCTTCCCTCTCGTTCCTTCCCTCCTTCACTCTTTATAACAATTTAACTGCAAGTTAATCATCAATAGTAGATTTAAATACTAAAGATGCACCACAAAATTATTTGAAGAAATCATGGGATATTAAGCAATTATATTTTTGAAATCAGCATATTAAAAATGTAATCTTGAAGTCATTTCTGCGATACATCAAAGTACAATTTTTGAATGAAAAATGCTAATGTAAAAAACTTAAAGCATAAAAAATTCAAACTGAGAAAATATTTGCAACCTATACACATGAATTGGGCATATTTCCTTAACACCAGTTGATACGGATACAAGACAAACAGGGATTTAACTGACAGGTCATTAGGAAAAAAATACTGAAACATAAATACAAATAACATTTACACAAACATTCTCACTGTAAATAATAATTTGAAAATTAAAATCATGATATATATATATATATTACTACAAATTAAGAAAGATAGTGTGATAATAACTTGCTGCTCAGAGTGTGGAGTGAGGAACACTCCCATAACAAGGACCACTCCCAGTTTTGGTCCAGTTAATTAGCTAATATCTATCAGAATTATCACATGTCACATAATTTGATTTAGCAACTCAATGTTTAAGATTTTACATCCAACTATGAGCCCATGGGTATATATGTAAAGATAGGTATGCACAATACAAGGCTATTCATTCGGGTATGTTTGTAGTGACAAATTATACAAACCAATTTAGTGTCCAACAACACAAAACTAACGAAGTATAATATCCCCTTGCAATGAAGTACTATGAAACCGAAAAAACAAACAAACAAAAACAGTGTGTCACAGCCATCACTGATATGAACCCCACCCCCAGAGCAAAATGCTACATGGAAAGAGTTTGTAGAACAGTGTCTATGGTGTGTAGCATCTAGGATGGAAGAAGTAATGGAAAAGGTGAATGACAATTACTGGATTACTACACAAGCAACACTTGACAGTTGCTTCTTCTATGGTGGCATTTGTGGAAATCTGAGTCCCAGAGGACAAAAGGTCACTGGAAGATTAACTTTCATTTTGGTTTAAACACATACACACATACATCTATATACACATATATATGTATAGACATATGTACATATACAGATATATATAGATGCCTTCACTGTTTGAATTTTATTTTACCTTTGCAAATATTATCTATTCAATAAATTCCTAACAATTTAAAATGTATTTATAACATGTGAACTTAGTTAACCTATTTGAAACTAAAACTTAGTTTAGGTCTAAAGAAAGTGTTGTTGCATTCTACTTGAATTTTAAAATAATTGTGTTTTGAAAACACACCAAATCAAAACATGTATTAGTAACAGAAAATGTTACTTATAAAATGATTTTGAGTGGTTTCTGTAAGTTTCATGAAATCAAAGTACTACACAGTTAGAATATGCTCTGGGCTCAAAAATAAATGAAAAACAATCAGTTATAACAAACAGCTTGAAGAATCTTTGAACGACTGATGTATATTGCCATGCTTGAGATGTTTAGAAAGGAAGACAGGAAATTTCTGTTCCTAATAAATAATTCCTGGCCATTCTATTATTTTGTAAATGGTTTCTGACTTTCAAGAATATCATTTAACAGCTAACAGCAAGACAGACCATAGAGATAGAACCAAATTTCCTTTTGACGTATGACTTTCAAAGTTATAGTTTCCTTTTGATCCAAATATATATTAGATTATCTTTTTCCATTCAAACTCTTGACATTTTGCTACTAAGTTGAAGCCCAGCCTCATAGCTAATGACATTACCTTAACATGATGAGTTCACTTGGTGAAGTTTTAGAACAAGGACTTTTGGAGTGGAACAGAGTTTTCTTCCTTTCTTTCCCAGAGTGGCCAATTTCAGTGGCTACTCTGAGATATATGTAAATATGCATTCCAATACAAGTTAGCATATTGTTGTTAAGTTGTAATGGTAATGTATTTCAAGTGTTCGTGTGCAGTCAATATGGAAATTGAATTTCATCTGCAAGCAGAAAGAAGTTACCTCTTCTAAATGAAGAGTTTATGAATATGGAAATGTGAGGCTAAGTCATAGTATGACCATCTTTTCTGAGAGATATTTAATTACCTGAAAGAAGCATGAGACATTGTCATTTGTAAGGAAAAATGACAGCCTGTAATAAAAAGAAGGAATGCTAAGGATGTATTTTAACAATATATTATTAAAGAGAGTGAAATAGGATATGGAAAGAGTGAAGGACTCCAGAGGAATAAATTACATGCAGCTCAGACTCTCTCACTACCTACCTGTATGACTACTATTTTCTCTTGATTAGCTATTAACTGGTTATAATACATGCCTTATCTCCTTCCAGTATTTTTTGTAATGAAGAAATGGAAAATA